ACAGCAGGCACGTACCCTCTGAAACATGCCCAGCAGATGAGCTGCAGCTTGCTCACACTCCAAGCCCGGAGCAGAAAGGGCAGAGCTGTGACATCAGAAGGAAGGCCAAGCCAGTTCCGACAAAGCCAGATGACAATGCAGCACAGGAGCCTCCACGCTCCACAGTGCTGTCGACGGGAGACTAGAGCACCTTACGGACACAGCCCGGATTCAAACTGGCAATCGCCACCCTTTAAAGCTCTAACCACGCTCATGCAAGGATGTTCTTGTTGGTTTCTCTATACTTTGTCAAAAATGATCTTCTGTCTCTGGCTCCAAGACAATAATGACAAAAGCAAAGAAAACCATCCATATCGATCAAAAATTAAGTGCAAATTCAGTTCTTGAACTGCAAACATTGAACAAAGAAAAAAATCAATTTCTAAAGAAGGTTTCTTGACACCGTAAATTGATTTGTATGGCTTAGAAGAACATTACAGCTTTAGCTAACATCAATGGGTTTTAGCAAAGACATTTATCAAATGGGCACAATTAGGTCAAAACAAAGTCTAAACTTGGCTTCTTTATGTATTTCTCACTACATACTGTATATTGCTACAAATTACAAGTTATTATCAATTAAAAACACAAAAAACTAAAGACAAAATAAACACTGATAAATATAAGGTTATGCAAAGACTATGAAAAGGTTAAATTAATACAATGAAGAGTATCATCATACTATATTTAACAGAAAACCAGTTTCAAAACACCCCTTGACGATCGTCTTTTAGCTAACTTTTTTTCCAAGACAGAATGGCTCTTTTTTGCAAAAGCTACTGTAGCTTAGGACTTCATATGATTTAGATGCCTGCCATCTGAAAGAAATTGGGGATTTTTTCCATAGTAAAATAGCAAACATACGATTCCACAAAAACACTACTTCGTGATTTCAAACTACAAAGATGACTCACTATTACAAGTTTATTCAAACGGTATTATTTAAAAGTTTCAGTGATGTCAAAAGTTGCATTGTCATCAAATTGCTTCCACAAAGATTGATGAATGATGGCTGAACGCTGTTAAAAGAATAAGTGCTGCACTAGATTAGAGCACAACACAGCAGGGCAAAAACAATTAAACTGGCAGACTGTATACATCGGTATGACATATTGAATTCAAATCAAACAGTCATTGGGTTAAACTGCAATGCAATGGGAAGTTAGTTGTTTAAACGAAGTACTTGATTTAAACAAATGATTCAATTTTGGTTTAAACTAAATCAATGTACAGTTTTGAGAACTGACAGTGATCAATTGATACAAACCAAGAACAGACTGATGGACTGACTCAACCTCAGCATCACTACATCACCTAACAACACTTTCTTTGCATTCTGAAATTCAGCTTTGGATTAGTTAGCAATGTGCTACAGTTCTTTAACTGATCGGCTTGCTTCTTTAGACATTTATTCCCTTGCTTCCGCACTGCAGGTGACTAAACAGTCACTAATAAGTGAACCCTTACGAGGAGCAGGTGGGGATGACAATGTATCAAAACCATCCTAAAACAAGTGGGTTTTTTTCCCTTCTGCAGAAGTCCTCCAGGTTACATTTCAAACGCTCCTCAAGGAGTACATTTCGGAGTCTTACAGACTATACCAAGCATAAACTAGGCACAAACACAAGAACCCGTCAGGAGCAAAACACAATAGACCGCTCACCTATAATTTGGTTATTAGCCCTCTCTTCAGATAGAGAGGGCTTGTTGACTGCTAAGCCAGGCAGGGTGTGTTCATGACAAAAACCTTAATTCTGCTGAGCAAATAAATGCTTTCCTGTTAAGATTAGAGCCACACTTTCATTGAACTTTCTGTGCCAATAATAATAATACATTACAATGTGCTGAACTAAGTAATAATCGTTCTCATAAATTCAGAAAACAACACACCTAATATGCAGATGTTAATTTCTGGGCAAAGAACTGACCCTCCCCAGCATGGCAACATTCTAATTGAAGGACTTTTCTGGCTTCCATTATACTTTTTGACAATTTCATCATCAAGGTTTCATCAACAGAATGGCCAGCGGGCCAGTCATCTGTTCAAGATATACATAATCAAAGATTACACCAAAACCCAAAAAGATCTCCGTTACCATCCTACTATATTCCGTTGCACCATAAACTTTTGGACTGTGATTTATTCAAGTCGTGCCCAAGTTCAAGTTCATATGTAATGACCAACGAACTTTAAGGCACTGTGTGATAAGACTGTGCTTCTCTTCTTCACAAGCGAATCTGATCAAATTGGTACTTCCTATAGAAAGGTCCAGGGAAGGCATGTAAAGCACAATACCAATGCAAACAGAACTTCCTATGTTAGACATTCATTATTGGGTGAATAAGCTCTTGAACCAAATACTGCAACGTCAAGCTTCTTATCAGATCTATGAAAAACCCTCAGGATATGTATTGCCAATGGATAATATTATGACAGTAATATGGGAATGACATCTAATGTTTGTTTCATTTTTTACACAAAACCAACGTGATCTTTTCTTCTGTTAAGCAAATCTTACAGTTACATATTGAAGTGCTATGAAACGAAACTGAAACAAAAGAAAAACGGGAAAAAAAGTTTTTTTCAGTTTTCAGTTTTCTATAAAATGCTTTGGAACAAAAAAAAGTGAACCAAAATGGTCCAATGATACTTTCAAATAGATAAGTTAATTTACCATATTTCTGACCAAATTGTTTTTACTGTTAAGTAGCATTTTTATTTCTGGAAGTGTTTCAGACAGCATTGAGGGTAGAGGTTGGTTTTGGGCTGAGGTCGGGTAAGCGTCTGAAAAACCACAACGCGTGGAGTAAAACAAGCATCACAGTTGTGTTTAAAAACCCAATATATAGAGAGAGTGTGGTCAGATTAATGTCTTTTTAAAATTTGCGATGGGCTTTTTTGGGTGGTTCTGACCCTTGTTAGGTGTAATATTAAATTCAATCTCACCCAAGAATTTATGATGGGCCCAACCTGCAACTCAAGACATAAGTAATGAGACTTGTTACTTGGAAAGAACTAACAGCAACACAAACAAAATCCTAGAACTAAAAAATTACAAACAGCTGCTGAACCCTGAACAACATTAGACAAGTACATACTCAATTTCCTCACGTGTTTTGTTTCAGGAGCTCATAAGCCCAATGGACACAGTTCTTAATAAATCTGCTTCATTAAAAACAAGTATTTCCTATCTTGGAAGTGAAGTTTGGTCTAATTAAAGAAGTTATTGAGAAGGCATTGAGTTTACTACTGGAGTATGGACACTGCTAGGGTATGAGTTAGGAAAACTGAAAAGCTGCAGGTTATACGGGTTTGTTTAAAATCCTTAAATCAAGAGAGCACGATGTCCAGTTTGATCTTGATTTGAACATTTCACGTGGTCCCATTTTAGTGTTTTGGCTTTTGTTAAGGGATAATATGACGTCAATCTTAAAACATAAGTGAGCACGATAAATTGAGGTACCACCACAGGACTACTAGAGTCGTTAAGTGAAACTAGTCTAAAGAGATGGACTGCTTTTAGTCTTTGAAACTCCTTAGACTCATTTTTAAATAAGATCTAGACACTTAACTGCTCTGGATTTTAACACTGAATCAAAGTCCAGTGGTATTTCCAAAGATATTGACGGTTCACTTAACAATTCTGACCAAAGCATGCTGATCATAAAGCACAACTTTCCATCCTGGAGATGAATTTGACTTTAAAATATAATTTAGCTGCGAGAAAGCACTGAGATTTGAGTTAGGAATTGGACATAAGGAGGGACGGGATAAAAATAAGAATTCTACACCACTGTTACAGGTGTGTTTTAAATCCTTTAAGATAATAAAATACATTTAAGAGAGCATGATGTGCAGTTAGTTTCTCATGGCCCTACTCCATATGTGTGACATGCAGCAATAAGCCACATTGTACCTCAGTACAATAAATCAAGGTACCTGTACAAATTCACCGCTATCTTTTCAAGAAGACTGTTTAAAACAGAAACATTATTTTAATGGCTCAGAAACCGAGCCTTAAAAAAAAGAGTGTGAAACTTTGTCACTTTTACATTTTCACATTCTGTTTCCATCTCACGCCGTACGCGCCAGGGCCCGGCCATGTATGAGTGGTGATCATGAAGTTTACAGCGACAATAACCGTAGCAACATGTTCTTTAAAGCGCACACCGTGTCAGGACAGCGATTTAATCTGAACTGTGACACAGTGCTACCGAACTCCCTTTCCATTGCGTGGGGCAAAAACAAACAAAAAGAGCCCGATAAAAAAAAAGTGTTTCTTCAACGGCTTTAAGGAGTGTGGTGTCGAGGGAGGTGGAAAGTTTCACAGCTGTTTGGGGAACGTCCTGTGAAGTGCGTCTTTGTCCGATATTGCTCGATTTAAGAATGAAAGAAGATTAAGAGCAGGCTAAGAGACTCCCCCCCATGAAAAGATACATCGGAGACCTAAAACCTGCAGGACAGCATCGGCTCAAATGAGTGCAGAAGCGCTCAAGTTCAAAGAACAGAAAATCCGAGTTCCCCCGCGTTCCCCGCAAACGAAACGTTTTACAAACTAAGCCCTTTGGCTGGAAGTATCGTAAAAACGCAGCGCCAGGTGACATTATCGATGATCAAGCATCGGGTGTCTTTAAACTAGGCGACGCTTCAACTACAACAGACCCTTCGGGGCGACCCTCGTCTCTTGTAATTCACAGCTGCCAGCCAAGGCGACTGGGTTTGTTGTTGTTTTGTTGCTGGAAGTCGAAGGTCGATTTACACGACCCGATCAGGTTGTTTTTTTTTTTAATTACCCGCCGCTGCCGTCGCCGGCTGTGTTACTAGTTACGGGTCCTGCGAGCCCACGCCGGCCGGTCACTCTCCACGGCCGTCACCCACGGAAAACAGCCCGGGCAGGCTCGGTTCGACCCGGGAATGCCGCAACACGCAGGTCTGGAGTGGCCCGTTGAGCCGTACGCACCTTGCTCTTCACCTCCACGGCGCTCAGAGTCCGGCTGCTCGGCACTCGGTGATTTTTATTCATCTTTTCTCGCCAGGACACCCTGTTATTTGTCAGTCTCGCCCTCCCCAGGGCTGCTGCCCCCGCTGGTCCGGCTCACTCCTCTGTTTTGTATCCGCGGGAGAGTGGGTCCGCTGTAATCCAGGTATTGCAATGTAACCAGCCCACCCCCACGCACACACGCGCGTCTTGTGCCAGTTTCGGTATTTTCTCGCAACGTCTCCCTCTCCTGCAAGCTCGCTCTGGTCGCCTCCGCCTGACAACAACCTGCTTTCAAACTCTCTCTCTCGCTCACACGCACACTGGCAGCGCCTCGGCGGTGACGCAATCCGCACCCAGGAAACGGCTCCAGGGCAGCCTCGTTTCGGCGACGCGCGCTCCCGTCGGTACAATGCTGCGCGCTTCTGCCTCTCAGGTCCGCGGCGGTCGCCTTGCGCGCACTCGTTCCTTTCCGGGGAGCGCTGTCCCGCACGCGTCTGTTCTGTACATGCAAATAACTCTGTAAAGCACATGATGCTTTAAAACTCCAGCAGAAGAGGACGGCCGGCTGTAACAGACACCCTCTTACTGGATTTTGTTGTCTGTTCAAAGTTGAAAACACATTTAATAACATTATTTCACTTTTTAAAAGGAAGATGTTTATTATTATTTCAGCACACAAGCAAATTGTTTTCACAACATATCCAAACTGGCTGTTACTTCCTTCTGACATTTTCATTTTAACAGTGGAAACAAGCAACAACTGTAAACAATGTCTTGGAAACAAGCGTCGTGCAAATACAGCAGCTGCGTCCCTCTCGTTTACAATATCTTGTGAAAATATTTTCGAATTGTTTTCTATCATATTGTACACAATACCATATTTTAATATGTATAGTTATTAAATAAATATCAATGTGTTTGCAAATACCCTCCAGATCTGATTTAAAGGAAAAACATATAAGGAACAATATACGTGTGGAAATATGTAAGGATATAAACCACAGGAATGCAGGAATTTCCACGTATCCCTTTTAATGTTGTGCAGCAGTCGTGCACACTCTGTAATGTGAGATACATCGCTCTTATTTTCTGTTATTTTCCGAATGGTTCAGTATTTCGTGACTATGGGAAATCGGCCAGGATAAAACGCTGTAACAGTTTGTGAACACAAGTCAAAGCAGGTTTAATTTATGCCGATATACGTTGCTTTGTTTCAAGAAGAAAGCAAGAGGGGCTCTTGTTACTGTACAATTGTCAATTGCCCATTTTAAATTCTTGCATGTAACTCATCTGTGTCCCTGTATAAGTCACTCTCCTCTCCTCGGGAGATATTAGGCGGCATTTTCTTTTAGCCCAGTGCCACCCGATAAAAATCAACACGTGGTTTCACACATCACACCCCATCGTGTTGATTTTGGTCGCTCCTTGGGTTGTCATGACTGTGTAAAAGAAAAAGACAGTACATTGAGCAGGTTGAGAAGAGTATAACTGAAAGGCCTTGCTGCCCATTTCATTATTAGATAGCTTCCATGTCTTCAAAAATATTACGGCGGGGTTGTTCCTGGGGTCCTGGCGCCTGAATGACGTGTGTGCCCTATTTTCTGCGATTCTTTATTACTCTGATTCACTCAGTCGGGATAGACTTTGACAGTACTTTTAAGACCACGGGTATCCGAATCAAATTGCCACATTATAAATTATTTTCCAGACCAATGGGGCTTTATTATTTATGTCGTGTTTACGTCTCTAGCCCCAGTGCCAGATTCCTTTCTTAAGTTGCAAAGTTCCGTTCAGAACTGAGTACCGCACAGTGTTCTCAGTAAGACACAGAACTTTTGCCATTTTCCAGTACTCCACAGTTCCACGACGTCTGCTGATTATAGTCACGGGACGAAAAACCTACAGTACGTAAGAAACACTAGCAA